GAATGTAAATATACTGCTAACACGAAGATAACCTCAATAGCTGAAAGACAATTTTTATTATATAATCAGCCCTAATAGCAATTATAATATTTAATGTTCAAATCAAATATCTATCAAATCTAATAATCAAAAAATTCGTTGTTTCATATTTCACATTGTCATATATCGACAACAAACGTTTCCAATATGATACAAAAGGCAATATATCTTGAACTGTATGTGACCGTCATTCTCTCTTCGATTGCTATTTCAATTTCCGCGCTTTGGTTCGAATTGCACGTTCTAATTGATGGTCCCCACCCCTAGAATTTGTCTCATCCCCACCCTTCAAATTTCTTATTTGCACTCGAGTGGCTCGCGCGCGGCTCTCGAGGTCAAGGTGCAAAATGTTGTGCAGGCCTGGTGGAGATAAACATCTGGAAATGCTGGAAGATGTCCCCAGTCACAAATCAAAAGAAATTTAATGTTTTAGATTCTGGAACATATTTTGCTCGCCTTCCGCGTGAGCCTAAAAGCAGCTACTAATTTTAACAGACATGACCGCCATTTTTCTTCCTTTCTCAGTAGGAAGTTACCCTCCAACTACTCAGTTTGATTTGTTTTTTTTAACCTAACGAGAGGTTTGCGGTCGGGACTACAGAATTGCCCAGCCGCACGAAGAACCCGACGAATCAGGAAACAGTCATCATTGGATGGCAGAACCTTAATTTGGGCGGTGACTTTGCACCGAAGAACATGTAAACAAATGCATCAGTCTCGACTTTGTCCTTCTGTTACAATAGGCCAACACCAAGCAGTTAGATTAAGTATGCAAAAATTAAATTTGTTTATGAAATAAATATTGAACAATTTAAAATTAAGTATAAAGCAGTTAATTAACTTCATTTACTCTAAGCAAAATACTTCACCCGGCGTGGTCTCCACGAGAACCTTGCTGGAAAACATGCACTCGTAGAGTTACCATATTTCCTCTTTTCCCCGGATTGGTGGATTTTACAAGAAAGGACAAAATGTCTTCTTTATTGGAAAGGGAGTACTACTTTTAAGTGCAACGTAGACATACTAAGTACGAAGGGTATTCCGCTTTTTCAGCTTTTTCGAGTCCCCGACTTCATAACATTTAATTGTTGTACAAATAAATGACATTTAACTTCAACTACCTTGCCCAAACCGCCAAAATTCATAGATCAACTTTATACACATGCGTCGTTTTCTTGATGAAATGCGATTGTGCTGCCATAGGCTGGTGCAACGTATTGTATGAGGTTATAGATTCTGTGCTCTATGGCGTTACTCTTAATACTGTTCTGCTGGCCTGTGGTGTTTACATTTCGACCAGGGTGGCAAAAAGATAAGCCTTGTTTAATGATATACTTAAAAATTCAAAGCGTTTGTTTCAAAGTTCAAAGCAAAGTTTTAATTGTTGAGGGAGATTTCATTGTCCAAATACTTATGCTATATAAGTGGAAAAGACAGTGATGATAGTGAAGTAGGCCTTTTGTGTGATTGCCATAGTGATGACAATGATTGTAGTATTTATGTCGGTAGTAAATATATTATCTTTGGGAAAATATATTATTAAAATATTTTATATGAAGTGCCTCTTTTTTTAAAAAATAAGAAATGTGCTCTTTTTCTATGATGGGAGTCTGGTAACCCTATATAGTCGGTAGTGAGCTGGCGCCACATATCATGAATTGGCTTCCACGCAGTCTCCTGCCAAAACATTTCATTCGCCTCCTTAAATTTCTGCACCCTCCCCCTTATGTTAAATCCTCGCACCTCCTCCGTTGAACTTCCGATTCTCCCATTGTCAGTACCAATTTCTCTCCAACCGATGCTCCAATTTCCTCGCAACCAGTCTCTGTCGGGACACATCGACCATGCAGTCGAGGTAAAATGGAGTAAATATGTAGAAACTAACGTCAGAGACATCAGAAAAACTTCCATGTAGGAACTTGCTAAAGATTCCACTACCGCGCCATAAGGTTCAGTCTCTTTAAAATATAACTGACTTTATCGAGGTTGCAATTTGAATCAAATAATGTTCTTTGCTTTATAGAACATTGGTTATCTTCTAATGAACTTAGCATCTTCCAAATTCCCGACTTTTATCTGACAGGCTGTTATGGTAGTGGAAGGGAATCATATAATGGGCCTGCATATATGGGTTCTTGTATTTGTCTGAAAGGATATCGATTCTATCCCCTTGACCTATTGAAATGTGGGTTCAGTGGAATATGTTTTTGAAATATGTTGTACATGTTGCTGTCAAAACTACCATTCTTTGCATCTACAGGCCCTTCATCTAAGCGAGTGTACACCACGTTCTTAGACAATCTAGAGATAACCCTAAACAGACCCAGTATTCGATCTTTGAATTTATTGTTGTATAGGTTTTTTTTTTTACATGTTATAGTCGAATTTCGTGAAAAAGAACAGTTTCTCAATTTCATTATTTGCTTCAGTTTAGGTATTACAGTAAATATACCTTCGCGGACCACACTTCAAAGAAGGCAATCGATAAATATCATAATTAAAAAAACTACTAAATATGAAATTACAATCTAAGAATTAGGTAAAGTGTCACCCTTGAGTAAATTCTTTCAGTTATAAATTACGAACATCGACACATAATATTAAATAAATAGTACACGTGTGTGTAGATTGCTTTCTAAAAAATCAAACTAATTCTTTATTTCATTTCTAAACCTCATAACGATTTCATGATTTCCACATCTACTTCTGAAGCAATTCATTGTTACGAAAATCATATGTCAGATTAAACTCATGATAAACAGGCTATTTTTATAATAAATCAAAAGCAATGTGAAATATAGGAAACTAGTGGTACTAAAACAGGATGTGCTTTCTCACCTGTATTTTCGGACAAAATTACGCGAAAAGTACACAAAGTTTCGTAAAATTGTACATGACCTTATTTCAAAATTAATGTTTAAGGAAAAAGTCTTTAACTTTAATATGTTAGTTTTAGGAAGACTTCGAAAATTTGTTTGAACTTTCGCAATTTTTGAAAAATCAGTGTTTTTAACGAAGACGAGACCTGCACCATTCTCTTAAACGTCCTTCACATTATCCAACAACGAAATGTAATAAAAAACCATGGAGCCTTTTTTTAAAATTTGGGAAAACGGCGAATTTTCTGCGGAAAAACTCTTGTTACAGGGCCCTAGTACCTAAAATGTGGATAAATCTAGTTGCCAAATTTAGAGAGAAAAAAATATTTCATCACATGGTGTAGCCAGAATGCAAGTTCTCTGGGTCCTTGGTACTGAAAAATGGAAAGTCGGCAAAACGTTCGTCCGTCTGTCCGTGAACCTTAGCGCCTAAACCGTTTTCTCAAAAAAAAATTAAATAAACAAATCTCCAATCGATCTGATTGATGCCGCGACCTTTTGAATTTGAGAACGATATTTTAATTTTGGGGGGTACTTTACATGAATCCCCGGGTACATTTTCCAAATTTTCAAAAAATGGCTCTATCGTTTTTTATTAAATTTTGTTGTGGGATAGAGTGAAGGACGTTTACGGAATGGTGCAGGTCTCATGTTCGTTGAAAACTGATTTTTGGAAAATTGCAAAAGTTCAATTCGTACAATTCTTACATAACTTCCTACAATTAAAATATTAATGATAAGGAATGTTTTCCTTCATGAAATCTGTTCCTTAAACTAGTTTTTGGAATAAGGTCGTGTACAGTTTTTCGAAAATGTGAATACTCTTCGTGTAATTTTGCGTGAAAATACTGGCGAGAAAGTATGCGCTTTTTAGAACCATTAGCTTTCAATAAACAGTGATCTTAGAGAGTGAAAACTGTAATGGAATGAAGGGAAATTATTCACTCACCTTTCCACTTTGTCAACTACACAAGGGGTCCAGCAGGGTTCGATTTGAGCCTATTCCTTTCCTACTTGTAAACGATGTGCCCTCGTTTCGAAATGGAAGCTCAGTTTTCTTGGCTAATTCTTGTAATAAATTAACAGTAAATAATACAATATGAAATGGTGGGTTTCCATACGCAATGCTGCAATCTTCGCTTACATTTTTTTTAGACGAGACCAACTATTGTCCTACCAATTCTTGCCGAAAACGCGCGTTGTGTTCATAATTCAACTTAGTGTGTATGAGTTTGAGGCATAGATTTCGGAGCTCAAAAAGCCATGCCCACATTGCACTTCTTCGCATAATACGTTAGTGTATTACGTTAAATGAACAAACCAACATGCCTGAATAATCCTAACTCAGTTTTGCAATTTCTTCCTTGATCTCTGTATTGACGGCTTTTTCAGTTTTGTTGCAAGTTTGGCAGAGTTGGAGTCTGGCCGCTTTCTTAATATTTATGATAGTTTTCAGTTTTAAAGGCTATTCATAAAATTTCAAGTAGAATGATCGGTATTGTACGAATGTTGAAAATAAATCTATTTTTGTAACTCACAAAGTCTGGTACTATTTCAAAGTATTAATATTTACACGACATAAGATTGCTCCTATTATTTTAACATTCATAAACCATAACAATGCTACTTCAATATAAGTTAATCTTTGTGATGTATCAGGTAAGTTACGAATGCAGTTGGACAGCTTTTGCCGTACCGAAAGTTTCTTGTCTCCTTTTACGACTTTGCTGAACATGTACTACACAGTCTAAAAGATAATGGAAGATGGTTATGACTCACGATCAGTATTGTGGTACTTTCTCCTACTATTAGGTTTCCGTTTCACCGACATTACAGCTGTCTTCACTTCTTTCTGTATCATGGTCCTGTGCATAGCTACATTATGCCACTACACTCCATGTTTATGAAGGTTGATGGTAATGAAAATCAATTATTATATAAATATATTATTCTGTTCTTCCCAGTTTGCCCTTTTCACTTCAAAAAAATCATCTGTAAGTGCAATCAACATTTCCTTGTGCACTTCATATCGAATATACCCAGTGCGTCCATAGTATGTATGTATGTACTGCAATGTTACAGATTGCGACAATCTCGAACTGTGAAAGAGAGTAGGGCAAGTCGTGCTCGTATTAGATCCCAGTCAAGAACCAATTCAGAATGTGGCAGTACTGGAAGTTTAGTGGAATCTATTTGTGAAAGCAGATCTGGCCAAAGTACTGGGTTTGTTGGAAGACAGACAAACAATTCCTTATCATCTGCAACTGGGCAAATAGTCATTCAAGGATTGAGACGCAAACTTCGTAGTTCCCAAGTGTAAGTATTCACTTTTTCACAATTATAGAACTAAGTTTTATACATTTTTTATTTTCACTAATTATACTGCTTCAGTATTTACATATAAATTCTTGAATTCAGTATGTAGAGGTTCTTTCGAAATCGTTTGGTAGAGGAAGAGGTGGACAAGTAATCGAACATTCCCAAAGTCTACGCAACTTCCATAGCAAATTGAAACAATCCAAAATGTTCAATCGGATTTTTTTTTTTGTAGAATATATTATTTTACCCTAGTGCCATGCGCTAATGTGATATCTGACTGTGATTCGCATATCTCGTAGAGGGAGAATGTTACCATTCGCTACTCATTACCTCGTGCAAATATGCTTTCGTAGCCTATTATTGGGATTCTACCTCATAGAAGTGAAACTGGCATTAATCGTTGCGATGTTGTGAATTTATTGAAGTTCGCGCTTGTACAATCATTACCCACAGATCTTTAAAAAAAGTTGAATAATGAAGAACGGGCATATCGAAGATGCCTTAAGCCTGCGGAGGGGACTGACGCAATTGTCGCATACTGTTTTTCTCATTTTACCTAAAAGGAAATACGTGAAAAGTGCATACGTTTTATTTCCTATAAACGGGAACGTTCTGTATTACATGAACGCTTGCTGAAATTCAATTAATGCTTCAAATGAGCAGATTTTGGCATTGCTGGGGTTTTCAGTGTATTTATTTCTGACTAGTGGATCCGTCAATGCTTGGCTATTGCAGTGTATTACACTTTACATTACTGATCACGTGATTTTTAATCACGTTTTATGTTACGCTGTTTAAAAATTCAAATAGATAAAAAATTCGCAAATATGGGTTTGTTCTATGTCTTGGTTTGGACATGGTTGTCAAGTATCCTGTTATTAAAATGTTATGCCTCAAATTCGGGCATGCGTTCGCTATGCCACTACGTTGAAGAAATGTTATGTACTTATGAGATTCAACTAATAATTCCGGCCGATATTTCATATTGGTAGGGGATGAATACATGTATGCAGTAAAGACGCGTTTAATCCTTGACTGAGCGATGGATTGCGTTGAGTTCAGGGGCGCATGATTCATCCTTTCTTCCCAACTTTAACCGCAGTGGTGAAGTTTGCTCATCTTTGCTTCCCCTCTGTGATAACTGTCAACGGCCTGAATTGCACGCGCGTCCGCTTCTCCAATTAAAAAGCCATTGTCACTGGCCCCGCCCCCCCCATTTTTTAATTTGTTGGGTCTAGATTGACGCAACGCGTCTCCAAGCTCCTTCTGGAGCATTGAGCACCATGCGCTTGGCAGTATCCTCCATTAAGATTATCTGTCATCTCTCGTCGCAGTTAGTTTGTCAAGAGGACCGCCAGGGAGAGTACTTACTCCACGCGCTCGTGCGTCACTACCCAGCGGCCAGAATAGGGAAGGAATTGGGATAGGTGTAGGGTTTAGGACGCTTTACAGGGGTTTGTCTAGCCCCTGCGAAGCAGGCAAACTCGTTTCGTTGGAACAAATTGCACATGAGACAGTTCGGAATTCGATCCCGGACGTCCTTGGCGAAAGGCAAGTGCTCTGTGCCTTGAGCGCTGCTTCATGGGACGGGTCCGCACCCAGAATGTCAACATTTTCGTCTAGTTTTCTTGGGAGTTGGGTTGGATGAGAAAGGAAAGCGAGTTAAGCGAGTAAGTGTAAGTTTCAGCCCAGTGAGTGTTCGACACTAGCGGAAAGAAAGCAAGTGGTTCTAAATAACGAGGAAGGAATTTCCGTGAGAATTTTTGCTAACTTTTTGACTGCGGAAGGGCACCCATAATTTTTTCTTTTAAAAGCCACCCACTTATGTTGTTTACATCTCTACAAGACATTTATTATTATTATTATTATTATTATTATTATTATTATTATTATTATTATTATTATTATTATTACAAGACATTATTATACAAGGAAATATCCGTGCGTTAACTAATTTTTATTTTATAATTCATTTTTTAGTAAAGGTTTATTTTGTAGTTTAATGTAATTAAAATGATTTTAAGGGGGACATTATTTCCTAGCAAATAACGCAATTATAACTGATGCGTCAACGGTCATTTATCGCTGGAGCCATTAATGTCCGATTAAGACAGGTTTCTCTTTATGAACCTTGGTCATGAATGTAGCTTAAGTATTCGCGAATCTTGTTTTGAACTTTCGTAATGTTAGTTTCGGAAGTAGTAGGGCGGGAGTGTTTTTTCGTCAAAATATCATCTGTAGTTCGTTTGCCGACGTACATTTTCTATTACAAGGGAACGAACATTTCTAGTTTTCAGATGTTGCTGACATGCTCGTTGATAGCTATATTCTTAATTGAACTATGTATACTAAAATAGATGACTGATAAGGAATCTGGAGCTCGAGAAAAGTTGCGCAAATTATACTACACCCTCATTCATCTTAGGCAGTCTAAGCCCGCTCCCTACTATGTGTCTCTATATTCAATAAAAGAATAATTTTGAGAAGAATCAAGGGACCTTAGATTCTCTCCTGAATTTTGGGTGTCTTCATCACTTGGTTTTTGAGCTTCTAATGAATCATTGGCAGTTGTAACTGACAAATTTATTTTGCAAGTTTCTTCAGTTTTCTCATCTATCTCTTTGCAAGGATATTTTTTACGTCGCTTTTCTGTGCTGTATTCAACTGTTTTTATACCATTACGTGTATAATATTTTGTGCCATCGTGTAGAGGATGCAACTCTATGAGGATAGTTTTAACTGTATAACATAAACATTAGCTATTAATTTGTAATAATTCATTCCTGTTTTCCGAGACTGGTAGAAATTTAATATCGTAATTGGATTTTGGTAATGCTGGTCTTATACATTTTGTCATTATTATTTCAATATCTTTAGCTAAGAGTTTATGATTACTATATTTCATTGTGATACCCACTAGAACTGAGTCAGATGACCCACCAATGAAGATATTACCTTCAACATTGTTATTGAGCAAACCACAAATTACTTCAGCCATTTCTAGTGGTCTGATGTCTGTACTATCTGTTCCTTTGCAAATATGAGTGTGCAGATCACTTTTAACATTTATCACACTTCGATATACAAAAGCGAATTTTTCTTTTGCTTTTTCTCTAAAGTTGCTCTCGTTTTCAGGACTTGAGTCAGATCAGAGCATTCAGAATCATGTCCTTGTGGCAGCACTGCAGTTCTTTTTTGATAATTATCTCCATTGGTGATTGCTGTGTTTTCATCTAAATTAGACTTAATGTCCCTTCCATTATGCTCTTCGGTTTCTTCTATGTGGTGCAATACATTTGCGGAAACTTTGGTGTGCTGATCTTGTCCGATCATTAAAATTTTTAAGGTTATTTTTGCTTGTATCAAACCAAACAATTTATTTTCTGGATACACAGAAAAAATGCAGACCGTATTTTCACCATTATAAATATTTCAGTTTTTATTCGTGGAAATTGTCTGAGACCTAAACTTGTAATGTGAGCCCAAAATTCCAACTTTCCTGTGACTAACATAAAAACCTTTGTGTAAAAACACACATCCTTCTTTATACTTTGTCAGTATCAATAGTTTATCAAAGATGTAGCGCCTTATTGCAAAATTATGGTGCTCTGCTAGTAGAAGTAAGTTCTCCCCTGCATCGGGCATAGACACTTTCTTTCCTATCTCATTGTTTTTCATAGCTGCATGTAATATTGACAAAGCATGTGCTAAGAAATCTTCATCAACATCACATACTGAACCTTTCAACTGGCCAATTGCAACTAATGAATTGAGAGGAGTATGTTTCAAACAAATTGGTTTTTCTCTCCGAGCATGTTCGAATGTCCATGGCCCATAAGAGGACATTGCCTTTTTGCTGCGAAACAAGCACACGAAGTAACGTTATTGCCTTCAGGAACATATTTTCAAATTCAACATCACCTTGAAATCCAACAACATTACCATTCTTAAAGTAACTCTGATTTTGTTTCATTAATTTTTTGTATATGATCACTTATTTCTTTCAAATGTTCTTCCCACTCTTCACCAAATACATTAATATGTATCTGGGTGCCTTTGTCCTTATCATTGTAATGTAGTTTTTAGCACTTCCTATGGTGCAGGTTCAAACACTATATTATAAATAAATAAATTAAAAAACTTAAAACCAATGGGAAAAAAACCAAAAATATATTAGATTAGGCAATAAACTGTAAATAGTCGGTTACCAACTAAATACTAAAACTTAGCTGTATCTCTGTTAACATTTGTATGCGTGTGTATGTATGTATGATATGTGTGTGTGTGTGTGTGTATGTGTATATATATATA